GTGCGCCGCAACAGGCCATTCGATCACGGACCGTAGCCAGAGCTCCAAAATGACTTTACGAGGGCGTCCGAACTCTAATGGCCTGGCATTTCCCCCGAAAACCTGACATGTCTGGCTGTGTGATCTGTCGTAGAACATGACGACTTCAGTCTCATTATCGATCTCGAACGGGCACTGGATTGTGGAGATGTTGCGGCCTTTCATTGTGACATCGCCACTACGGCCCACCGTTGCCGGGGTTCCATGACTCCCGAAATGGAGCGAGTATGCTCACTGTATACCTTTTCATTGAGTGTTTGGCTTCGCCGTGGTATTATTCGTATTTTCTTCAGTATTTACCACCGTGATTCATCCCGTATCGTGCGATGTGACCCATAAAGCCATCTTCTGTGTACTTATTCCTGATATGCATCGCTGGCTCCTTATTGTCTATGCACTTAGTGCAACAGAAGCCCCAATGGGCTGATCGACCTGACGAAGTGAAGTAGGGTGCTGAAATAATAGACATGTATCGTCGAGGTTCTCTCGTGGTGAGGTCTAGTTGCGGAAGTCCCTCATTGAATGTTTGAGTGTGAATTTCCGATGCTCTGTTGCGCAGGGACTGGCGGTCCAACAGCATGATCCTGTCCCTTGACAGATTGTTCCGCTCCGTGTAGCCTCCTGGGAGACTGAAGACAGGAGGTACACACTTCAATTCTCCCTTTGAAAGACCAGTGTGCTTAGTTGCAAGCGTGGCGGACACGGGGAAGTATAAGGGGTCTGTGGTGAAGCAAGAGTAGCAGACGCGTCTGCAAGTGATGAGCTAGAGATGACTACCGAAACGGTCGCAGGTTGCGCGGTTGGTGGTAGAGAGGGTCACGAACAAGGTCCTGCAATCAAAGTGCTTTGCGTCGATGCTGAGGATGGCGCGGAGGATGTCGGGGCAACGATTACAGACTGTTGAGTCCTGGCCTAACGAGTTGACAAGGACCATGGCCCTATGATCTACGCGCCGAAAGGCTATTAGGGACGGTAGATCCAGTGCCAAGAGAACCTCAGAGGCAAGTTCGGTAGGGAGCAGGTATAGCCTACCCGCTGGATGCTTTGGTCGGCCGTAGCGCCGTCCATTGTCGAGGGGACACCGAATTCCGAGGCGGGCATCGTCCAAGGTATGATCGACAATTCTCGATTTACGATAGCCGTATTTTTCGAGCTGATCTGGGGTGAGATACGTTGCATCCAGGATGGCGAATGGTAAACAATGGGAGATGGTGGAGGACCAGGAAACTGGTGGGTTTTAGGTTTTATCTTTGTCACTTATACCTCTTGTTACAACCAAAAGTCCGACCGCCCCAACAGCACCCCACCGTAGAGGGCAACTGATCACACGCATAAAGATAAGAGTCACTAGAGAATCAGTGAGCCAGCCAGTCAATAGTTCTATATAAGACCGCACTCATAGCCATAACCCTAGAGATGAGGAGGCTAGCTCCTCAGCTATCAACACAAGATTCCATACAAATTTCATTACATTGCATTGAGATCCCACCTATAACGGTCCTACTATATCCTATGTCCGATAGAGAATTGAAAGCAAGATTACTAATTACAGCTAAGACTACTGCTTGCTGATCGGTCTCCGACCGAATGGCGGTGAGGCATTATATATGTAGCTATAGAAGAGTCTATGCCCTCTGTTTAGGCGTAGGTCTACTGCTACAGCCACAGCAAGGAGGTGATATCCTTACATTTTCAATTCTATCTTAGCCTCTTGAGGGCTACTAGTCAACACGATAGATAGATTAAAGGAGCCTTGTTATAAACAAGAAATACATAGTCAACTAAAGTCTACTCAATTTTACTTACACAGTATGGTCTTCAAAATTCTTTGCAGCATCTATAATTTTAGGGTAATTTACCCTTAATATCGTAATGACTTGAAAGGTGGCTGCGGTGGTGATCGCGATCAGCATCGCAGACCACAGTCCAATGAGACCCCAATGCTTGATGAATGCAAATACTATTGCCAAAGGAATGGCAAGAATATTGTATGCGAAGAGACTAATTATACTCCCGGTCCGTTGAAGGCCTAGACCTCGCAGGATGCCACTAGTGATGATCGTACCAGCGTCGGCAATCTGGAACGCTGCCAGGACTGGAAGCACAGTTTTGAATAACGCTACGGCAGTGATCAGTAACCAAGGCTCTAAGGACGAGAATTGCAGACGAGCTTACCAACTGTTTCCGCATCATTGGTGAGAAGCCACCCCCATGTGTTCCGGACAAGGATCAAGAATATACTGTTGTTCAGTCCAAGTGCCAATGCCAGCATAATTGCCGTGATGGCTGAGACCCGAGCGGATCTGCTGCGACCAGCGCCGACAAGGTTGCCAATCCGGGTCGCCACTACAGCACTTGCCGAAAAGGGGATCTGGAATGTCAGGTTTGCCGTGGTTTGGATGATAGAATGCGCCGCAAGGTTGACTGTGCCGAGGTAGCTTGCAGCAACGGCCATGGCCTCGACCGCCCACCACTCCGAGCAAATCATAATCACTCCAGGGCCGGCAAGGCTGAGCAATGGCTTCCAGTTCGTCAAAGCCTTCGTGCTAAAGCCGCCGAAACATTGATATCCATCGATGAACCGCACGTACAGCGCCAGGAGTAGTGCCATGAGACTGAACGACATCGCTGTTGCAATGGGAGACCCCAGAAAGCCAATTCCAAATTTCGAAGACCAGACGAGGGTATAGTTGCTGCATGACAGACAAATCAGAAGCGTTCAACGAGAAGCAGAAGGGCTAAAACAAACCAGAATATGTTGAGAGGCGCGGTGATCAGGAGAACATATGTCGATGCGTGGAAGATATTCTGTGCTTGCTGGAACCGCTTAAGAGCCTCAAAGATGGCATAGCCTGGTGCGCCGAACCAGTAGATTTTCAAGAATGATCCAGATAAGCGGGCCAAATCGGGATCTTGGCGAAGCCACAACAGTATCGTTTCGGTGTTCAACCAGACAATGGAAATCGGGACAAAACAGATCAGCTCCAGCAGCAGACAGCGTTGCAGATGCAAGCCCAGCTCGTGCTTCTGGTCTCTGCCATAGGCCTGGGAACATAAGGTTTCCAAGGCGGTTGAGATTCCGGTGAATATCGTGAGTCCGGTAATCGTGGCAGTCATAGTTGCTAGAGAAGCAGCCGCCAGCTGCAGCCGACCGAGATGGCCGATGGAGAAGACACCAGCGAATTGCTCGGAGTACTGGAGGAAGAAGCTCAGCATCATGGGAAGCTGATCACAACTGAATTAGCAGTCATTCGCGTGGATTTTGCTGATCCCTCATGGGAGATGTTGTATTCTATACCATGGCTTTGACAAAGTACTTCAGCTCACTTAGGGGGATAGCGACCCCTTCGCCATTCTCACACTCCTCAGCATGGATGCGAGGTAGACAATTGCTTTCAGCATCTCGTTCCCGTCCTGTCGTTCCATAATTGACACTATCGCGTGCCAGTAATGGATCAGACATGTTTGCAGTGCGCACGGGGGGATATGGTCATGAACGCAAGTCGCCAGCTACAAGCGCTCGTGGGCGAAGACCGAATCCTTTACACCAACGGCGGGAGGAGGCATGCAATACAGTAACGAGGAGAGGGATGCAACGAAACTGATGCCGGCTGTTTGGAAGCACCTGAAAGGCGTGTCTCCACGGACTGACAGAATGAGTGTAAAGTTGCAACTGGGTCGTTTCCTTTTACAATGGCGACGTGCGACGTGGATAGAGCCGGAGGCAAACAGTGAGCGATAATACCACCGTACTGGTACAGCGATTAGTGCGTCGTATGAGGTGCCCCTGGGCTCGCGTCTGTCTAGGGCTGCACGGGTGGAGCGCATGGTTGCAGCATGTAGCCATGACTAAATGCCATCATTGTTGCCGCGAGAGCCATGAAGCTTGTGATCGGGGTACCGGCATCATGGATGGGTGAATGTTAGTTCGATATTCTTCAAGCTAAGAAAGCTAGTCTAGAACATGATCCGGGATTAATTCCCACTGCTAGCCCACTCTCCACTCTGATTGCGGTGGGGTAGCTGGCGCTTCGAGATAACGCTAGCTAGTCATTCCCGCCCAGTCTACTGCGGACCACCGGGGATATGCTCCAATTAGTCAAAGAATAAGATAACAAGGTTAGGGCAGGGCGGCGTTGTTCACCAATATGTGCCTCGACCAGATGCTAGATCACTTTGCATAGCGTGCCTCTTTCAGGGCTCGTTCGTGGTTTGAGCTTTCTTGCCTCGACTGTCGCCGGCTGCTTTTTCTCCTGAACAAATATCCTCCCGCAAAGCTGCGAGTCTACCAGACCACACCAGACCACACCAAGCCAGACCCGCATGATGGTTCGGTTCTTCCTGCTGTTGAAGCTCTCCAGCTTCGCGGGCTTCAGCATTGCCCATACCCTGCCTTCAAACCAAATTCCGCTGGTCTCAAACCAGGGTGACGAATATCACATTACCCCTTTCTATAGCCGGCAGAAAGGCGAGACGACATTGGAGGATGCCTTCAAGGAATTCAGACGTATTACAGATAACCCACCGCTATTCACAGGTATCACGACGTTCGCACACTTGCCAGATCCGGCTTGTTTCTCGGAAGATCTACCAGATGGTTCCTACGACATAGCATTCGTGGGCTCACCGTTTGATACGGGTGTGATTTACAGGACAGGCGCAAGGTTTGGCCCGGCCGGAATTCGAATGGGATCGCGAAGACTAGGAAAGTGAGTGCGCTCGAGGTTGTGTGTCTGCTGTTTGCCATGTCAAGACGTGCCCGCAGCCCCTGTAATTATGCCGTCTCTATACTGATGAGTGTGTGTGTGCATCAATAGGTACAGCGGACACAGTGTAGAACTTGACTACAATCCGTTCAACTCACCCTTCACGGTGGTCGATTGCGGCGATGGCAAGTGGACGCTCCTCAAGGCACGAGCAGAAAATCGAGAACTAACACGCAACCAGCGCCGGCAACTCCAATGGACAATCGTGTGGCTATCAAGCAGCTCGAACAGGCCCATGAAATAATCACATCCCGCAAGCCGGCCAACGAGACACTTGTCAAGCATCCAAAGATCATCACGCTCGGTGGTGATCATACCATAACCCTCCCCGCGCTAAGAAATGCGTACAAGCAGTGGGGTCAGCTCAGCATCATCCACTTCGACTCTCATCTTGACACATTCAACCCGAACAGCTTGAAGGACATCTACGGAGGAATTACCAGCAACTACTCTTCTGTGAACCATGGAACTTACTTCCACATCGTACGTGTCTACGACCCAGTTTGGCCCCTTCACGTGCTTACAATGCCTAGGCGAAGGATGAAGGCCTTCTCAAAGACGACACCAACATCCATGCTGGTGTCAGATTGATGCTCTTCGACCCTGTCGGAGATATCGAGGAGGACGAACGCTGTGGCTTCGACACCATCAAAGCAACCCAGATGGAGACGCTGGGTGTCGACGGCATCGTGGAACGTCTTAAGCGCCGCGTTGGTGACAACCCTGTATACATGTGAGCATGATTACGCCACCTCGGCATCAGACTTCTGAGCCACATTGCTAATTGTTTTCCAAATCAGCTCCATCGACATCGATGTCCTTGATCCCGCTTTTGCCCCTGCCACGGGTACGGCTGGTACGTCTTCTGTTCCTTATCCTCATTGAAAAGGCCGATTTTCAGCTAACATGATCCCGTAGAACCCGGTGGTTGGACGTCTCGAGAGATGTTGTCCATTCTTGAGGGACTTATCGGTATTAACCTCGTGGGCGCTGATATCGTGGAAGTGGTAAGTTGACCCTGCACAGAAATCATCCCGCAATTGACTACTGACTGTCGCTTAGGCTCCGGCTTATGACACAAATGCTGAGACAACGACCATGGTGGCAGCCGAGATGTTGTATGAACTACTGATCGTGATGCAAAAGAGCCCCCTGTGAGATCTCAAAAGCACACGCCTTGCCAAGCTGTGTAGAGGTTGTTTTAAGGCTTTGTACATTTTGTTAGCTCAACAATATATGGTCATCTATTCGCAGTTCATAGCCGGGGTATATCAAAAAATAGATAAAGTAGTAAAATTTGGCAAAATGTCCACTGCTCCTCAGCAACCTGTCACGGGATCACATAATATAGCGTGCCAAAGAAAAGAGCCTCCAGGGCTCGAGAACATGCCAAAATTTCCACGTTTTACAACATTTCATTATGAGTTTCAACATTCTAGGTCTAATAAGTGAAGGTGAAGTATGCAAATGGGAACTTTGAGAGCTATGTCATCTAATGGCCTAGCAGAGGCGAAATTCTGCTCCTCTGACTCTTAACTTGATACGATTGCATTTCTTTTGGGCGCGAATGTGTTGAGTATTCAAGCAATTGGCTTTTGATTTGTAGAGGATTATATCTTCATATCTAGCTAGAGGGAAAGATATGCATGTTCTATTAGACAATCTTTGGTGTACACTGCCGGACTTTCTTCTTGGGGAATTTATGCCACTTCAAACAGGTGACCTGATCATGACGGTCAGGATCTCGTACAGGATCTCCGCAGCCAACTGTCCCGTCTGCTCTGCGACCGTGTCGTACATGGGGGCCACTTCCACCAAGTCAGCGCCGACAATCTTCAGGTCCGCCAGCCCGCTAATGATGGCGAGGACCTCACGGCTGGTCCATCCACCTGGCTCAGCTGTGCCGGTGGCCGGGGCAAAGGCCATGTCCACACTGTCAATGTCGAAGGACAGGTATACCGGCCCCGTGCCGACGCGAGCCTTGATCTTCTCAATGACGCCCTTTACGCCGATCTTGTCGATCTCGCGACCCTTGACCATGTCAAAGCCACACTTGCGGTCGTGGGCCTCGTCACCACTGTCGAGGTAGACGCCCTTGATGCCGGCGTGCATGTTGGTCTCGTTGCCCAGAATGCCCTCGTCGTGCGCGATGTGGAAGTACGTGCCGTGGTTGACGCGCGAGTACCTTGACTCCGGCGCGTGGATGCGCGGCCGGAACGTGTCGACGTGCGAGTCAAAGTGGAGGATGCTCAGCGGGCCCCAGTGCTTGTAGGCGGCGCGCATGGAGGGGAGCGTGATGGTGTGGTCGCCTCCGAGGGTGATGATGCGCGGGACGTTGGGCGTGGTGGTGCTGTTGGCCGGGGTGTATGAAGCGATGATCTGGTGCGCCGTCTGGATCTGGGTCAGGGCGACCCTGTTGTCCATGGGCGTCACTCTGAAGGCGATGGCGTGTTAGCGATGTTCTGGAGGACTGACACGGGCATGGGGGAACAAAAGAGAGAAAAATCCTACGGGATATCACCACAATCTACAACTCGCGCATTCTTGCCGTCGAAAGGGTTGAAGTCATTCTCGACTGAATGTCCCGAGTGCTTGGCCAACCTTCTCGAGCCAAGCCTGATTCCCGTGGGGCCAAATCGGGCTCCCGGCCGGTAGGTCGTAGCAGTGTCGAAAGGAGCCCCCACGAATGCAATGTCTATGGGCTCGGACTCCAACACGTCCTTCTTGAAGCACGCAAGCTGCGGCAGATGCGCAAACGCTCCCGTGTCGGAGAAGAGCGGCGGGTTCTCTAGAGCAGGGGCGAGGAAGTCAAACGCCTGGTTCAGTGTCTTGTCGGTCGACTCCTGGGCGGATTGAAGGAAGAACGGCCGATCGACATGGTTCTCCTCGTAATGCAAGATGGCCGGATGCTTGTGCTGCTTGTGCTGCTTTCCAGATGCCACACAAGCCAAGGCTAGAGCGCCAATGCTGGCCGCAAGAGTCTTGGTGAGCATTGCAGCGTGACGGGGACCTGCGTATGCTGAAGAGAGGTGGTGGTCTTGAACAATACAAGCCGATGGCGGGCGATGAGACTGTCAAGAAGCGACCGAGTAAGTTTTGAGGAGAGATCTGAGAGATCTGGAAAGGAAAAAAAACACACACGAGACGAGGAAATACGACGAACAGAAAGACGTGCTCGAAGCAGGCATCATAATCCATTGGAAGCGCCTGGGAACTGTGGACTACCGGTACCGGTACTGCATAGTCAGGGTTGTCGGCCTCCTCGTGGCTTGTGACTCGTGACGGAGCTCATGCACGTAACCCGACCCGGCCATACTGCATAGTACTGCACCATCCTGGCTGACTCGGGCGGGATCTCTCGGTGGGTCCTCTACTCTAGCGGGGTGGAGCGCCGCCGTGAGCCCGGGACAGTCGGACAGTCCACTTTGGCCTTATCTCTAAGCGCCACCGTCCATGCCAATGAAGAGGCAGTATTACCGCCTATCAGCGTTGATGGCCTCGTGGAGATGGCGCCCAGATGGATCTAACGATAATGCATAGTTGACATGGGGCTTCTATCTCTAAGCGCCACATCTGGCTGAGTCTAGCTCAATCGAGCTTGACGGGAATAACCCTTGTCTGTGTCTTCGGGTTTACGAATCGAATCGGTCAAGATAACGAAACTGGCCGTACTTATCTACTATATGATCCAGGCTCATTTACACGCTCTAGCTTCAGACGCTAGACTTGATTGTGGCGGCGCGGCAAGGGGATCGACGACGTTTGGCTCGCGCGTTATCGTATGCTGCGGTGATTGAAAACCATATATCTCTGCTGGCCCGACCGTGAACACAAAATCTTGAAGAGAAGAGTTTTCAGAGGCGCGCCCAAGCAAAAACTGATCCGTCTACCTGCCACTATCTCGTAATTCGAGCTTGATACTGGAGCACTTGGCAAGCACAACCCTCGCAACTCGAGTCACCTAACCATCCATGGCGGAGGAAAGGATCTCCACGGGCGGGAAGTCTCCCGTTCCCGCGTCCGAGCTCAAGCATGACTACCATGAGAAGCAAAGCACGCTGGTAGAGGGCCAGGATCCCGAGCGCTTTGGGTACACCCAGGTAAGCGATTCGACCTTGCGAGTCGATGCACCCACAGAGCTGACATGCGATTCATCCAGCAACTGACTCGAAACCTGGGCCTGATGTCCATGATCGGCATGGGATTCGCCGTGTCGTCCTGCTGGACCGCCATGGGCGGCACTTTCCAGAACGCCTTCAACGCCGGTGGCCCTGTGACCCTGTCCTTCGGGTGGATCGGTGTCACCCTGTGCGCCTTGTGCGTTGCTGGCAGTCTGGCCGAGATGTGCTCCAGCATGCCGACCAATGGTGGACAGTTCTCGTGGACGGGAATGCTTAGCTCGGAGAAATGGGCACCGATCACGGTAAAGAATCCCCAGGCTCTGCGAGCACTTTGTAACGCTGGCCGCATGCTAATGGCAAGCATATAGAGCTGGATCACCGGATGGATCCAACTGATTGGTGTGCTAGCCCTCGGCAGCACCGGGCTTCTGTTTGCCGCGCAGTACATCATGGGTGTTGCGGTTATCCTTAACCCGACATACACGTCGGAGCGCTGGCAGATGGTGTTGGTGATGTACATGATCGCGATTTTGATCACCCTGGCAAACATCTACGCGGTCAAGCTACTGCCTCACTTGACCACCGCATCGCGTAAGTCGCTCTTGTCTCACTATTTCCGCAAGTGAATTGTGAGCGAAACTAACTTGAGACTCACAGTCGTTTGGAGTGTTGTTGGCTTCCTCGTCACAATCATCGTGCTCCTTGTCATGATTCCCGAAAAGAACAGCGCCTCATATGTTTTCACGAGCTATTCCAACTTCTCCGGATATGAAGAGAAGGGTATTGCAGTTATCATCGGCCTTCTGCAATCCTTCTGGGGTAGTAAGTATACATTCCTGTTAAGATTACATGTTTGGAAGAACACGTCTAACAGACTTCTTAGTGCTGTGTTATGATGCGCCGGCTCACATGGCCGAAGAGATGCACAACCCCGCAGTCGACGCTCCACGCGCCATGATCACCACAGTCATTGTTGGTGGCATCACCGGCTGGGCTTTCCTGATCGCTGTACTGTTCTGCGTGGGCAATATCGAGGAGGTCTTGGGCACTGCGACAGGACTGCCTTTCATCCAGATCTGGTATGACAGCACCCATAGCGACGCAGCCATCATCATTCTCGGACTGTTCCAGATCATCTGCGCATCCCTGGCGGCCCTCATGTTGCTCACCGAGGGATCCCGGACGGTCCACGCCTTCGCCCGCGACCACGGCCTCCCTTTCGCATCCACCTGGAGCAAGGTCAACCCCAGGTTCAATGTCCCGATCAATGCGATCTTTCTTGCTGTCGGCGTGCAGTGCGTACTGTGCGCCATCTACTTCGGCACAGCCACTGGCTTCTATGCCTTGACTTCGGTGGCCACCATCGGCTTCTATGTCTCATATCTCATGCCAATCCTGGTCCTGTTGATACGTGGCCGAAAGGTCCTCAAGCCTGGCCCCTTCCACCTCGGAAAGCTTGGTCTGCCGGCGAACCTGATCTCGGTTGTGTTCCTGACGTTCGGCATCATCTTCTTCTGCATTCCCTCCAGCCGCCCTGTTACTGCTCAGAGCATGAACTACACAATCGTTGTGCTCTCCGCGGTTGCCATCCTGTCAGGCATAAGTTGGTTCACAGGTGGTAGGAAGGCTTACGTGCCGCCCAGAGAACTCCGAAGTTACCATTCCGACTCAACTATCAGCCAGGAGTAGTGCGATGTTGAAGCTATCCTAAAGATACGGAAGGAGAAGTTTCGGCGGTGACGTTGGGTTGAGACGATCAAACGCACGGGGGACCCAATTTTGAGACTTTGTACTTTAACATAGTTATATTTATCCTATTCGAATGCGCTAGACCTTTATCTCAATTCATAAGGAATTATTGACGAGAAGTCTCGGTGCCCACATAGTTATGAGAATCGCGCAACATCGTCCTCTTCTGATGATAAGTAACGAATAGACAAACCAGAGACAATTGCTGTCTTGAAATTAACATGGAGCCTGCTTGATTCCTCAATTGATTGTGGCAGCATTATTGAAAGATGGGCCGACCAATACAGCAAAGCTTCTGTGCTCCAAGTGAGGTTTAGCCGCTGAAGATATTCCCACTTGCGGCAGATGGTGATGATGCCTTTCAAGCGTCATAACCCTACCCCAATGATATCCAAATGCTAGCAAACAACGATATATCATCTTCGTTGAGGATTGATTATTTGTTGTCCGTCCACATTCGTAGTAGCTGACACTCTCCTCGAGAGTTATCATGGTCGCCGGAAGCCGGAAGCTGGAAGCCCGAAGTCGGAAGACGGAAGTCGGGAACCGATAGCCGATGCGAACTCCTACCGCTGATGACAGTCCAGTTTGAGTGCGATGTGGTAATTGTGCTTCAGTACTCAGGTCAGACTAAGAGACCAATTATGCGCTCTCAGAATATCGCCAAAGCTGACGTCGTTGCCTTGACTCCTTGCTGCCCACAGGGCCTCGAATACATACCGTGCCTTCTCAAAATGGGCAAGGCCATGCTTGATGTGTCCCCTCTCGATATATTGTCTTATAAGGCCTTGTCTCTCCAACCCTACAAATGGGGCAGCCATGGCCAGAGGCCAGAGTATCGAAGCCCTTGGAACTTCTGAACAGGCATCGACAATGCTTTCAGACAAAGTTACAAGCTCATCGTCTGTCAGAACAACGTACTGCCAGCGGCAAGCAATACGGTGAAGCTGGATCTGGGCCGCCATTCGATACGTTTCTGCCACTTTGATGTATTCTGGAGGGCTATCGCATGACAGCCTCCGGGATTGTAGACCTCTGACAATACCGATGATCTGATTGACGATCGCGATTGATGTTTGTGCATTGCTTTCGCATTCCAGTCGTCGTAAGCAGTTGATATAGTAAAACACTCGAGCGGCTGCGCCCATCAAACAGTCGTAATCAGGCTTGCTTGCTTGCAAGGGTACTTCTGCGTTGTTGAGAACATCCTGCCATAGCTCCTGATCGAATATGGGGTCTGTAGTCAGGGACAGGCAGTCGTGATATGCGAACATGCGAAGCATTTGATTGTGCTCTGGCGGCGGGGTTCCATGAGCACGCAGTTGCAAGAGACTCTTTGTTCCCTGATGATGAACCAGCCATGTACTTGTTTCGCCACGAGTAATCTCTATCGAGCATAGCATCAGAGTTGCAGCAAGGTTATACTGGTACAAGTCCTCGTATTGGCCGGGCCGCTGCAATATATCGTCTCGCTGTTCGTTGAGATGCCGAATAGCCTCGGACGTCGCGCTGATAGCTTTACCATGTAATTCAAGAGCAACCGGACTGAAACTTGGTGTCCTCTGAGCGTAGTGCGAGGCTGCATAGCTCAGGATGGAGTATAACAAGGCAGTGGATCCTTGTGAAAGTCCCTGGATAGCCAATTGAAGGAATGTGGTCAAGAAGATATTCTGATCATTGTCAAAGACAGCAGCCATATGGGCCGCTGAATCGGCATAATATCGTAACAGCTGTCCATTCATACCCCGGATCAATTCATTGGCCGACGGGTAGATGCGTGGTGGTATGGCATTATTGCTGCATACAGACTTGGATAGCGTTCCTAGAGACTGGAGACAGGGATCTGCCAGGCAATTCTCAGCCGTTTGAGCCTGCATTGCCCGTGATAATGCCAGTTGGGGCCATCTGCACGTCCGGCCATGCTTCTTGCATCGATCACAGTCGGGCTGCGTACCATGTTTAGAAAAAGATAGGATTGTAGGGGTGTTCATAATACCTTTCTCATATCACATTTCTTTTTAGCTTCTCTGCATATAAGGCAGCCAGTCCGAAGACGAGCTTTCCGTTGTGTAGACATGGGAGTTCGTGAATCAAGTCGTGGATTGTCGCAGTCTTTGTTGTGCGCGGATTTGCACTGGTCTGGTTACAGCAAGATATCGAGAAGATGTCGTCGAAGAGAGGCCATAGATAAGCGTGGGGAAGAAAAAGTCAGGTGTAAGTCCACTAAATCATTCATGATGGAAGCGCTAAACATGCCCCGCCACAATACCTGCGCGCAGTAACAGAATACAGGGAACACTGCACCGATCCAAGTTAGTCTCTGAAAGTATTATGCAGTAGTCATTCCAAGTACCTACCTACACATGCGCCAACGCTTGATCATGTGACGTCAGTAACATTAGTGCGTATCTGCTCATTATAGATTATATGTGTTTTTGTTTCGATCTTTATCATTTAACCTAACGCTGAGAAATCCTCAATGCATCAGATTAGCACTTTACTACTCTAGAGAATCTGTAGGCAAACTTGAATATGAGGATTGTTTTCTATATTTTGATAGTATTTGCCTTGCGGCTGTTGGGAACTGCAGCAGGTTCATTTGTTCAGTATCCGTTCCATCATGCAGGCCTGAGGATGCTCCTGTGTGAAGAATATGCCATCTTGTATAAATGCGTGATGCTACCTTTACTTACGAGCTCTTTCCCAACGTAATGACGCTGAACACGGTGTTTCTATCAGCCGTAGTCAGGAATTTTCTTACGCCTTTCTCTAGGGCGGCCTCGCTGAGCATGTCGTCTCCTTCCCCAACCCTATCGCCATCAATCGGGCTATCTACATTTTTTTTTCTAACTTTAATATTAACCCAATCTAATTTAATTTTATATTAAGGTCATTATCTCATCTAAAAGGCCGGCTTCTATAGCTATAGCCTACCGAACTCAGTACGTATAGACACCTATTTGAGAAATGAAATAATCAGCTGAATGAAAATTCTCGCCTTTTTCCACCGTCTGCGACCGACAACTCAACTACTCCGACATAGTAGCTCTAAGCAAGCCCTTTAGCAGCACTCAAGCCCTACCATACCCATAGTTCCACTCGCTGTCAGTCGAGGCCCGTTCTCTCAAAGCAGTAGGAAGAAGCTTTGCGGTACGGGCCATTTAGGTCAGCCGCCACTCTCACCTCTCAGCAACGAAGTGGCGCTACTAACTTACGACAGTATTCTCGCGGTGGTGATCGTCGCTTAGGTGTGCAACCGGAATACTTGAACGACGTGAGCGATTGTCGTGAGGCCAAAGCTTATAGCATAGAGATAAGCCGCTTCCCCTGATGGGGAATACTGGAAGAGAGCGGTCACAGACTGACATGGAAAGTCGTACTTCAGAAGAAAAAAGGCACAAATGTATCGAAATATGAAACGATAAGAGATTCTGAGCACCGTCATGCGGTTTGGTACAGAGTAGTAGCTGCAAGATGTCTAAATCTAGACGTTGGCTCATATAAATGCTGTCTTAGGTAGAAGATAGGCTCCACAAATTATCGTTGCTTGGGTCGTATGCCCTGTGCACGTCTCTGGATGTTTCGGGCTCAACCTTATCGCCCCTCTTACATGTCAACTGCGTTTCGTTTCGTGTGCTATTTCTGGCACGAATACTTGTTCTTTCAATACTCTGTCAAATCTCTGATGATTGTTTCGGGCCGAATAGCTCAGCGTGATTGAGGCTGGCGACACGCCGCAAATTTGTGAGCGATATGCCGCTTCGCGACCCCTGAGTCTCAGACTCAGCCTCAAAAGCAATAGCCGTCACCAGCGCGCAAATCAATGAACAGCCACACGGCGTTCTCCATTGAGTAGTTGTCGCCTTGTTTTTTCTGCGTGAATCCGAAAAGCGCTTTCATCGATACGAAATTCGATTGAGGCAATGTGCGGTGTAGGAGGAGATCTGATCCAGGGGGTTTGCTGCAATGCTGGATGTAAGAATGATACGCGGAAATGGGCTTCTGGGACAGTACGCACGGGTGCGGTTGGGAGCCTGCGATTCACATCTCCCTTTAATGGAGTACACTTTGCGCGGACAATGTTAAGCAAAGCACGTTTCGTATCGTGGCTCATCTTAATGTTGCATATCTTCTCTACTTCTTCCACCGCGCAAGGGAAGTTATTTATAAGTCGTGGCTGCCGAAGACACCAAAAGCGATGGTAGATAAAACCACTATCTGATCTTTCATGTTGGACCTTGATCAGTTACATCTCACTCCATACCGTCTTTCGTTGACCTCCACTTCAATGCCCTGTTCAAAAGCCGATATTCCTACAACCACCCAATTTTACATATCGGATAGCGTCCAAAGATGGCAGTTGGCGAATTCGTCCTCTATCATTACAACCCATCGTAGCGGCGGCTGTCATCTTCATCGTGCTGTTATCTGTGGCAGCATGTGGGCACGCATTTCAGCTACTACAACCCAAAAGGTGGTACTTTATACCCTTCTTGATACGATGTGCTTGCAAGTGGCTTGAACTGAAGTTGAGCCAAGGCCGAGTGTTGACAGAACCTCTTGTTGGCAGTTGAGGCAGTTGGTTATGTTGGCCGTGCCATCTCAGCTACACAGTCTCCGGACTGGACGACGATGCCTTATGTTATTCAGAGCCTTTTGCTCCTCCTTGGACCAACTCTTCCAGCAGCTTCCATTTACATGGTTCTGGGCCGCTTGATTCTTCTTCTTCAGGCCGATTCTCATTCGCTTATCAGGCCAACAATACTAACAAAGGTTTTTGTCTTGGAAGACGTTGTTTCGTTCTTGTCAGGAGGTGAGTGCAGCTCCATTCAACTTGAGAAAGAAGAAGTAGAGGGGGAGGGTCACCATGGAGTCGGCGCTGACGTAGTAAGATAAGGCGGCGGCATGCTTGCGAACACAAAGACAAAGGATAGACCAAA